GAATTGTGAGTGTCAGCACGTGCACACGCACGCTATCTCTCTCTCGCACACTTTCAGCACCCCACAACAAAAAGGTTCTCCATCACTGCCACAGACAAATCCCCAGAACTGTGAGAGTCTTCCACATATATCTACCTGCCTCAGTTTACCCAGAAAATGACCAAACAGCTTCAGAGTGTACTGTATATAAGGGAGGAGACATTTCTGGAGATACTTTGGTCCTAAGCCATTCACAGTTTTTAAAAACTAACATCAAATCTTTGAATTTCACCCTGCAATGGACTAGTAGCCAATATACTACTTTTAGAGCACTATGGTAGTATGAAATGATTATATCAATTTTGAACTCTTGGAGGAAATGCAAGTTGTAATTTAACTAAGTGAATACATTGTTGACTCTGTATTTCTGAAAATGTTTTAAAGGTAATCTTGTGTCCAGACTCCAACTAGGCAATTGCCAGAATGCCTAATCAGTGAGTGGTCCTTGGTGCTCTCTGAGCTTGCAGATGTTTCATTATCCGAACTAGGTAACATCATCAGTGCTAGCAGGGAGTGGGGCTTGTTCTCATGTTATATACTACTGCATTGTCCTCTCAGTGTGGGTGAGAGTAGTGCGTATATCCATGAATACCAACTAATAGTATGAAGACATGATGAAAACTCCTTAATTTCACAGCAGATGGACACATGTAACCATAGGTTCAACTAGGAACTATGACCAGCAAGTCCAAATGAGCTAGAGAATTTCTGGAAGCCTGGCACTCTTAACAAATCAGTCATCGACATGCACATAGACATAAACAACATTTATGTACCATTCAAAAAAAAAAATCAACAAGCCAAAAAGAGAACAGAAAGACCAAAACATTTTTCCACCAGCAATCAACACCCAGGTGAGCATAGATTAACACCAAGATTAACATTAGACAATCAATCAAAAGCTGTCAAACAAACTAATAGTGAACAGCCCAACCAAAGAACCCACAAAATCATTTCCATCAACTCCAATACAGTGAGCCACTAGAATATAAAATGAGAACACACCCACTGTCTACTACGGTAGCACTGATAATGTTATCTAGTTTGGGTAATGAAATGTCTGCAAGAAAACAACCAAGCTCAGACAGCAATCTCTACCTACAAGGCCATGTCTGTCCCAAAATGTGAACGTGAATGAAGTGGATTTAGAAAATTAGCCTTCAAGCCCAATCTCCAGGTTGTTTGCAACCATTTACCCAGCTTATTTCTGGGTGTAGGATTAAATAGTTTATTTAATGTAATTACTTTATTATTTGAAGCAATTGAAAATGGACCTTGGAATGAAGCTCTCTTCCACTTCAGTTCTTCCCATTCGTTTTACTAATAGCCATCACAGCTTATTAACCAGTTAGAATTTAGTGTTAGGCAAAAGTAACAAGAGTAAATGCATATCCTCTAATCGTGGTCAAATCACCTATAGAAAGATGGACAAGTATTTAATCCTGTGGCCTAATTATTTCTTTCAACCATATTTTAGGGTTGCATTAGAGTCTGTCCGAGCCCTTGGCAATGCAAATACGGCGTGAAACACATTTTAATCCCTAAAAGCAAAAGTTACAAATAAATAAAGAGATTCAATTTCATATACGGTGGATGATTACAGTGAACCACTTATCAAACAACTTACTGCGTGGAGTTTCTAAATGAAATATGAAATCTCTGTGGAAGGTACACTTCAATTCAACCAGGATGAATTTTGTAGCCAGTATGCATATGAGGTCAGACTAGATAATTGTAATAGTCCCCTAACTGGTCTTAAAAGTATATGAATTAAAATTGCTTCCATACTTAATAGTCTAGAAGCTGCTAAAGGGTATCCAAATTATGGTCAGTGAATGAGACCACAAAGAGGTTTAATACCAGTTGGGGCAGATAAAATAGCAAGAGAGCACATAATAAGTTTTGATCCACAGAAGGTTCTTGAAAATGGAGAAGTGCATTTAAGTATTTTCCAACAATGAATCTACTTGAGGTTTCCATTGTTCAATTTAAAGTTTGAACTTTTTTTTCCCAACAAAGCAAGAGAGTACATTGTTTTTTTCTCTCGTCAAATCAGAATTAAAATGGAGTTTACTGCTTTCATAGCATAGCAAGAGATAGCATGGTGAAAGAACTGATATGCAAATCGAGGAAAGCTTATTTAAGAATAATAATCTTAAAGTCATGTTCTGTTAAGGTCCAAGAACTGAGAGGTATGCTAGGATTTGAAAGGAATAGACTTAAACTAGGGTGAATTGCCCAAAGGGTTTTTTTTTTTTTGAATTAATATTAATGTTAACAGCTTCCATTTTTTTCTTTTTTATTCTTTTTAGTGCTGATTACTCTTTATTTTTTTAATTATATATTTACTAAAATGACTATTAAAACCCTTACTTATTTAATGTCTAATGAAAGTTGTTCCTTGAGTGTTTTTTCAATTGTTTTAAAACAGAGCAATAGTCTGAAAAATGGCCAATTTTTAAACATGCAATTATAGGTAGAAACAGTACAAAACCAATGCAGTGAAATGTAATCCAAAATTTAGCTATAAAATCTAAGGAAAAGATATCAAGAAACAAAGATTTAAGTATCAAGGACTTCAAAGTCTCTTTTATTTTCAGTTCATTTCTACGTGAACATGGAGCCACAGAATACTTACATTCATAGTATCTAGTTTAATTTAGAGAATTATTATTGACTATTGAATAATTATTGTTGTTGTTGTTGTTGTTGTTGTTATTTAGGTATGTGGAAAAAACCTACAATCTAAATGTGAAGTTGTAGTGGGAAAAACAGAATGCTCAAAAAAAAACTCTTTCCATCTATTTGGTCATACATGTCACCTAATTGGAAAGAACCTCTCTTAATATTGAAAAACATAATCATTTGATGAAGCAGGAAAGGCCGAGGACAGTCAAAAGGAAATATGTCTTCCCCAGTGGTGGGTTTCCAAATTTTTTTCTACCGGTTCTATGAGAGCGCACTTCATGCATGCGCACAGGGCTCAAAAACCGTCCTCTGTGTCAACGGTGGTGGGATGAGCTGGGGTTTTTTAGCTCAGATGAGGCATGGCAATCCGCTCTGCTGCATGAATCAGCTAAAAGACAAGGGAATTTAGGAGACGTATCTGTGGGGCCAGGGCCAGCCAGAGGTGGTATTTGCCAGTTCTCTAAACTACTCAAAATTTCCACTACCGGTATGCCAGAACCAGTCCAAACCAGCTAAATACCATCTCTGGTCTTCCCACATTACTGACTTAATCAATGGAATTCACTATTGCAGGATGCAATGGTAGCTATCAAGCTGACTTGCTTAAAGTCATTAGGCAAATAAGGCAGTGTGTCAAACTGGTGGCCTGTGGGCTGGATTTGTCATGCACAGGCCATGCCCACCCCAGCTCCACCAAGGGAAAAAAATGTCACGATATGTCATGTGACAGCAACGAGTTTGACACCTGTGCAATAAGGTATAAAGCTATCAGCGACTACTTGTTATTTCTACAATAAAAAGTAGTTTTTTTTCTTCTCATACCAGCAACTACAAAACATTAAGAAGAGGTAGCTCCTACCCTTTTTTAGGTTCTTGGTAGGTAGATGGCTAGCTATTACAGGAAACAGAATATTGGATGAAAAAAGGCTCCCTTTACTAGCAAGCCCTATTTTGCAAGCTAATTGATAGGAAATTTTTAAAAAAGTGATATTGAGAATACTATGTAGAGCAGAACGCCTTTCCTTCCTGGTCAGTTGATGAAATGCAGCTGTTTCACAGGTGCTGTTTAAGTAGCCATTGCGTATTTCATTTTAAGACCCTGAAAGGATCTGGATCCATAGCCATATTTAACAGCCATTGCACACACCTCACAACTAGATTTGGTACCTGATGACATGTAAAAAGTGTCCACAGTTTGGGATAAGATGAAGAATTTGGATTCCACACGGTGATGGTTAAAAGAGGTCACAACCCACTTGCAGTAGAACACTTTAAATTAAAACACTTTTTTTCATACTCCCAAGAATGCATTCACATAGCCTGAAAGACTAAATTCCAGATCAGTAGATCAACTCTCTTTGTTCATCTCTTTGGTGCAAACCAATCGTAGATTCTTTGGCAAAACCAATACAAACTTTAGAACAGCCACATTCAGATTCAGGAGAAGTTTATTTTGAGGGTAAAATATGAAAATTGAAAGGCTAGGTTCAGTGATCAGGCAGTTTCATGAGTAGTGTATCTATAGAATGCAAAGAGTTGTATAACGCAACAACTCAGAGAGCAATGTGGAACTCCTTCTGAAATATCTATATCCCTTTCTTCCCTAATTACAACATCTATTTTATTGGTCCTTAATGGATGTTGTCAAATTATACACTTATACCAGGAGTGTCAAAATCAAGGCCTGTGGAATGGATCCAGCCCAACGGTGTGCTTAGATTTGGCCCATGGAGCTGCCCTGGAAACAGTGAAAGACCGGCCCATGGTGCCTCTGCCAGTGAAAATGGAACCCAGGAGGACTGCAGGCGGGCTGCAGGACATCGAGCTGGTCACACCCACCCTGGTCATGCCCACTCAGCCCCCCTCCCGAGGTCAAACACAATCCTGATGTGGCCCTCAGTGAAATTGACACCTCTGACTCATACTCTCAAGCTGGCCATAGTTTGAACCTGTTCACTTAGGAATTGTGTTACTTCAAGAACAGATTTGGCTACAAGTCTGATACACATATCCAAAGGGTATCTTTTAAATCAAGGGTGTCCAACCTTGGTAACTTCAAGACCTGTGGATTTCAACTCCCAGAATTCCTAAACTGGCTGTGGAATTCTGGGAGTTGAAGTCCACAAGCCTTCAAGTTGCCAAGTTTAGACACTTTTTAAAAATGCTTTTTTTTAATAGAAAGGTACTCCTCAAGAAAAGAGAAAAGAATATAGCAATAAACATAGCATGTTCGCACCAATAATAAAGGAAATGCCTCAGGGTTTCTCTCTTACCAGAAGAAGTTCAGCCTGTAATTCTTTGTAACTTTTTTCATTATTCTGGAGTGTCTCAGAGAGGTCTTTAATTACTTTCTCCTTTTCTTCTATCTCTTCGTTTAGCTGCTCATTTGCAGCTAGATGCTCCCTTTGTAATCTGAAAAGATAGACCAGCATTTTTCAAAAGATTTAAATTTGTTATATATTCTTCTCCATGAAGCAACAATACATCTACCCTACGCTACCATTTTATTAACATTGAGAAAACCAGGAAAAAAATCTAAAGAAATGCTGAGAGAGATATCAATAGACACACGTGCTGCAGTCCTAACCCAATAGACACTTGTGGCTAACCTTTTTGGGCTCCTGTGCTGAAAATTGCATGCGTGCTGGCACTTACTCACATGCCAGCACCCAGAAGGCAATGTGCACCCCCCACCCCCCTCTGTGCATCTGCACACAATTCCCCCCACTGTCCCCTTACCTGCACTGCACATGCGCACGCCTCCCAGCTGATTTTCAGGCCTTTTTCGGCCTCCCAGAGGCTCGAGGGAAGCCTCTGCAGCCTTAGGAGGCAGAAAAATGGGCCTGTTTAATCACTTCCGGTATTTCCGGAAACACAGGAAGTGATGAAACAGGCTTGTTTTTTGGCTGGGAGGCATGCGCATGTGCAGTGAGGTACGTTTGCCTGGGGCTCGCATGCCTGCACAAATGGCCCTCGGTGCCACCTGTGGCACGCGTGCCATAGGTTCGCCATCACGGCTATCAGGTGTTATTATTTATTTAGCGTATAGCACATCCTACATGGACTAGCAATATACAGTATATTGGGGTGGGACATTATTTTATTATTTTTATTTCTCTTATCTACTGTTTTTACATCTTTGTAAGCCACCTTGACTCGCCATGCACGGATGGGCAGCAATATAAATTTTCTAAATAAAATAAACATTAACATTTCTATAGGGTGAATTGGGCAGAACAGGTCAATAGATGTGGTACCATTTATCTATTTCAATAATCCAGTACATCTTCTGAGAATAGTCAAATTCAGGTTATTTAAACTCAGTGAGTGGCATCAAATATATTTGGCTAGCGAAAAGATAAAATCTGAAAGACAGATAGCCTTCATTTAAGTGACTGTTTAAAGCAGGCTTGTCAAACTGGCGGCCCACAGGCCGGATACATCACTTGCAGGCCACACCCACCCCGGCTCTGCAAAGGCAAAAAAATATCATGATATGTCACATGACGCGATCAAGTCTGACACCGTGGTTTAAAATTAAAATGGCATTGAAAAAAGTGACTTATGATCATTTTCCCCCACACTTACGACACTGCAGCCTCCCCATGGTCACATGATCAAAATTCAGGTGTTTGGCCATTGGTTCACATGAACCAATATTTATGACGGTTGCAATGTCCTGGGGTCATGTGATCCTCTTTTGTGACCCTCTGACAAGCCAAGTCAGTGGGGAAGCCATATTCACTTAACAACCACCTTACTTACTTAATTTCTAAACTAAGTGAGGTGGGGATCAAGAAACATCTTATATAGGCTTATGTATTCTTGTCTATAAATCAGATGTGGAAATTCTAATATTTCTTTCCCAGGTGTTGCTATAATTACCACTACACTGAAAGTATCCTGGAGTCTGTACACTAAGTTCTCTCCTTCTCTTTTGGTGGGTTTAGGAAGGGTTTCGCTAACAGGAAGATCTCTCCTCAAATCTTGCTCCTAGCTATAGTAGCAAACTCTGCTGCTGGAAGTTTTTCCAATATCCAAAGAAAATTGAAGGAAAGAGAAATTTGTTTAAAACGTCAGGTTCCACTAAACCGCAACCGAACAAACCACCAAAGAACACAGTCCTGGGCCAAAATGGCATTAACTCGTTGCGGAACCACGGCACGAACTGACATGCAATAAATGAAATAGAGTCAGGGCTACCCATCCAGTGCTCCCCTCCACCTTTTAAGCATGCCCAGCAGTCCCACCCAGCCACACGCACACACCCCCACCATTTCTCACGCGGAAACCAGTACACGGTCAGGAAATCATTAAACAGTCCACACTGAGTGGCCCGTAGGCGCCTACAGCTGACTCGACTGCTTCGCAGCTGTGAATTCAGCGGTGCAGGCACCCTCTCTGCAGCTCAAGTATTCCAGCTGCTTCAGAAGGAGCATTTTTACCCGGGTCCAGTCCCAGTAAGAATGGCGTGGTAGTGGTGGCCGTGGTAGTACGGCCGTGCAGCTCTCTTGAGATGGCCCAATATCCTTCTTTCCCCCCACCCCAGAAATGGCAGCCCTGATGCATCAGGGCTGACATAAAGAATAAGAAGCAGAAAGTGAGGGGAAAAGCAACCATTATCAAGCCTTGCTACCTTTCTGCATTACCAACATGAATCCAGAAAGATTAACATTGTGTTCTTCTAGTGAAAGAATTCACACAGACCTTCCTACACCTGTGAGACTGCTTTGATGTATTGCAGTAGTGAAATGCCAAGGATATTCTGATAAAAAGACAGCAACCATTTGGCACATTAGTTACATAAAGGAGAATTTTTATGTTGTTGTTTTTTTAATTTCCACTGCAATATGCATATCCATCGTTTAAGTGAATATTCAAAGAATTCTGGGACAACATACTGAAAATTATTAACAGATCCACTTAGAAATCTAAGAATCAATAAATCATATTTTGTTTGAAGCTTGAAATCAACATCCTGGAAGAGAACAATCTGATCAATAATTTACGAGTGATGTAAGAAAAAAATGGTGTTTGATATTATCTATGAAATATTTTATCTGGTCTATTTGTAATAAGAGTAAAATAACATGGAGGGAATTGATAGTATCTTTTTAATAGCAGATACGTTAAAGAAAGAATTCTGTAAGATAATTTCTAGTGTGCGGTGAGGCCATTTTTTAAAAAATAAGACAGAAATATTCAGAAATATTTACTCAATATGTTCTCTAATGTACATTATTGCACTTTTTATTTTCTATATTTCCCAGTTCTGACCTGGCATGAATTAACTTAGTCCTTCTCAAACTCTTCCTACAAGCAGGAAGAGGATCCCTTTTAACATTCCTAAGTGAGGGAAGGAGGGAGGGAGGAGGGAGGGAGAGGAAAAAAGGAAGAAAGGAAATGTTTTAAACACTGATCTGAGTTCTCATTTTGCGCATTTACTCCATCAGGAGTAGTCAATTATAGCCTTTTTAGGATGAAGACTAACTCTCTATATATCTGTGTGTGTGTGTGTGTGTGTGTGTGTGTGTGTGTGTGTGTGTGTGTATATCTTTAAAGTTTATTAATACAATTGTTGTATATTTTCAAATATTAATTTAACTAACATTTATTGCTTTTTAGGGAATTAACTATTGCCCCAAATACTCAACATTGTGCCATCCAATTTTAGTATCGCTACGAAAGTCATTCCAAAGGCTGGGTATCAGAGAATGTATCAGAGAATCAAATTAAGCTTTGGATCATTTTCCTCACTAAAAAAAAGAACGAGTATAATATTTTGACTCATTTGCTTAATTGGCATCTCTTTATATTGTTTTAGAACACATGTGTAGAACCTATTACCTTTTAGTCATCTTTATGCTGAAATATTGAAAATTTCCAAAGGTCTCACAAACTGTTCAGCGTTGCTTTAAGCACTGAACAATCTACAAGTTAAACCAAAACACTTGGCAGAAATATTGCAGCCTAAGTTTTCAAAGGGATCCATAGGCATGGAATTCTTTTAGGATGGTGAAAATGACCACACAGAAGCCAAATGACACAGCAACTCCATTAACTCCATACCACATCACCCACTTAAAGTGACCGCCTGTTCTGTGCTGCGCGACCAATTCCCATGGGTGGGCGGGCAGATGAGTATTTTGTGGAGTGGGTCAGTCTTTCCCCTCAAGAAATACCAATTCTCAGTGTGGGGGGGGGGCGGGGGGAGCCACACTCACGTGCTGAATTTTTCCAAGCTCTCATGAGCATTACGCTTCTCTCTCTCGTAGGCGTTTTCTACTTCTCTAAATTTGCTTTTGAACATTTCCAACTCAGAGATTGCTTCTGCTTGGCTGGCCTTCTCCACTTGCAAAGCTCCTTCAAGGTCTCGGATCCGGAGCTGCAAAAATCACAGGAAGACAACAATCAAGACTACGAACTTCGCTCTGCGTCAGATCAAAGCGAGGCCAGACCAAATGGGTAGGCCAAAATCATTCCGCGCATAGAGAGAAAGAGATTTTATGTACATATAAAGCCAGGGTAAGTGTAGCTTTTCACCCACCCGATCACCATAGTTAGGTAAAAGAAATACTGGCTACGATGAACTGGGATTAACGCTGACAGGCAATCACAATGTGGTTAAGGGAATGGGTGAAGTCAGGGTCATGTATAATCTTCTCCAATCCCAATTGCCCAATCAGAGTGAGCTTTTGCTGCCCTTAACCATGACTCTGTTGGAGCATGATCAATAGAAAAATCAAAGCACTGAGACATAATACACCAAAGTGCAAACAGTTCGAAACATTTGAAAAGAATCATATGGATCCAACAGATTCTAAACGGGAAAAAAAAAATGAGAAAACTGATGGGGAAAAAATGCCTATCGGCATTGCTTAGCTTTTCCTTGGTCAGGAAATGAACATCTTTCTTAGTTATTATTGGATAAACAGTGCACAAACAATTTTCCCATTAGACTTTAGGCTGGTGTTTTGTACATTGTTCTAGTACTTGGCGGTGAGGCAAAAGATCTCAGTGATATAAATTACTTAGGACACAGGTTTAAACACATTCCTTCACAGGGCCTTGGTTCAGAATTTGACAAGAGAACTGAGAAAGCACGTAGAATCAACATGGCAAGCTTCTCAGATTTATTTGCTTGGAAACATATACATTTCATGACTGCAGTGGAAAAGAGACATGGTATCCTTTGGGCATCATTTTGCCTTGGTATTTGTAGTCCGTAATCCCTCTAGATTCATAGAACATAGAATAATAGAGTGTTGGAAGGGACCTCAAAGGTCTTCTAGTCCAACCCCCTGCTCAAGCAGGAGGCCCTGTATCATTTCAGCCCAATGGTTGTCCGTTGTGAAAGCACCCAGAAGCTATTCCATTCTCTTGCTACTTTCTGCAGATCAGCCTTAAGAAATCAGTTCAGTTCCTAGACTTGAAAGCAGGATGTGCAGCTAGTTACAGAACTTGAATTATGAGGGTTCTGCTTCAGGATGAATTTTGAGATCATCGGAGGAAGGCAAACAGACAAAATGATGAAAAATAACTTGTCACTATTTACCACCCTTGAATAGCAATAGCAATTGAACTTAGACTTATATACCACTTTACAGTGCTTTACAGCCTTGTCTAAGCTGTTTACAGAGTCAGAATATTGCCCCCAACAATTTGGGTCTTCATTTTATCCACCTCGGAAGGATGGAAGGATGAGTCAACCTTGAGCCTGGTGAGATTTGAACTGTCAAATTGCAGTTGGCAGTCAGCAGAAGTAGCTTGCAGTACTGCACTCTAACCACTGTCCCACTGTGGCTCATTTTACTTTACAGATTTAATCTTAGGAGAATAACTGCTGATCCAGTCTGGTATGATGACCAGGAGGCTACATCAATTTAGGAACCACTCCAGGATGTTTAAACTTCACTTTGCCTTGCCAACTAAGGCATAAAACCCTCCAGTTGTCCAGCATGTTTTATTTTGTTAGTTAACTGGCTACAAACCAATTGTCCAAATACTTTTGAGGAATTTTTCTTTAAAGAGGACCACATTTTATCCATACACAAAAATGACATTAAATGTAAAATAATTAAACCTGTGCTAACCATCCAGGTGTGCAAAGAGCCTGCAATGCACTTATTGGTTCCATATGGTGCTTTTCTTAATTTACCTGAATGATTTCAGAATTAAATTTGGATTCCAGATGTGCCGCCCTCTCAGCCTCAATGTTTTCCTCCAGTTTTTTTACTCTGGCCATAGCTAGCTGTTAAAAAAAAAGTTAAAAAGTTAAAAAAAAAGTTAGCAACACAGACACACACACATCTACCTCAAGTGCTTCTCGAAACTCTCAGCTTAAAAGTACTGCTAACATCGATCCAAACTCTGCTCAGCTGCGTTGGCTTCTAACTACTTCCAGATTGATTCATGTTCTGTGAAGTTTTACAAGGGCCACATTCAGCATACCTAAGTGAGCTTCTTCTCAGATATAAATAACCAGATATTTGTTTCATAAGAACTTTTATTGCCTGGAGGTATTCTCAGTGGGTGGTGCCATAAAAGTAGAATATTCAGAATCCAGGATCCTACAAATATTCTGCTCACAAACTCCTTTGAATCTACTCCATTTTAAAAGGCTATCAAGGGTTCCTTATTTTGCTTAAGTTTGGCCTCTAAATCACGGGTCTCCAACCATGGCAACTTTAAGCTTTGCTGGCTGGGGAATTCTGGGAGTTGAAGTCCACCAAGGTTTAAAGTTGCCAAGGTTGAAGACCCTTGCTCTACATGGTTGTGACACTTTCTCCTCTGTGGCCATGTTTTTAAATCTCTCAATTTCTATTTTTTTTAAGTATAAATTGGGTTATAATTAATACCGGTGCAAAACTATTCAGAAAGGACTTTCAGAGAACCAGTAAAATGGCCTTGAAATATACACTTCACCTCAGCAGGACGGCCAAAGCGTCGATTGCCCTTCAACCCGTACAGGTAAGTTCTCGACTTATGGCCACAGTTGAGCCCAACATTTCTGTAGCTAAGCAGGACAGAGGCTAAGCAAG